CCCGCTCGCTCCTTCCACATGCCCACACCTGCCTGCCTGCCTGCTGTCGGCGCAGGGCACGCTGTATCCCGATGTGATCGAGTCGTGCCCGCCGCCCGGCAAGGGCCAGAAGCACAGCCACACCATCAAGAGCCACCACAACGTGGGCGGCCTGCCCGAGGACCTGCAGTTCGAGCTGATCGAGCCGCTGAGGGAGCTGTTCAAGGTGGGGGCGGCTGGCGGGGGGTGGCGGCGAGGGATGGCAGACGTGGGGATGTGTGCATGTATGTGGTGGTGGTGGTGGTGGCGTTTGTGTGGCCTGGGGACTGTTCGGCGGAGGCTTTCGGGGTTTCGGCGGTCCCTCCACCTGCCGTGCTTGCTCGCGCCTGGCCTCCCCCTGCCGCCCGCAGGACGAGGTGCGCTCGCTGGGGCGGCTGCTGGGCGTGCCCGAGCAGTTCATCTCGCGGCACCCCTTCCCTGGCCCCGGCCTGGCTGTGCGCATCATCGGCGACGTGACGGGTGAGTGCAGCGCCCTCCCTGGGCCGCTCCACCCTCCCCCTGCACCGCTGTCGCAGCACACCGCGCCCCCGCTGCTCCCCCCGCTGCCCACTCCCTCACCCCCCGCTCTGCTGCTCGCCCGGCCCACGTCTCCATCCCATGCTCTCGCGCTCCTGCCGCCCCTCACACGCCCGCGCCCACGCCGCCTGCTGTGGCCGCAGAGGGCGACCGGCTGGACGTGCTGCGTGAGGTGGATGAGGTGTTCATCAACTCCATCCGCGAGTGGGGGCTGTACGACAAGATCTGGCAGGCATTCGCCGTCTTCCTGCCCGTGCGCTCCGTGGGTGAGAGGCCGCCGCCGCCTCCTCAGCAGCGCACACAGCAGCACACACAGCCGCTGCCAGTGTGCGGGTAGTGGCTGGGCCTGCGGCCTGACAGGAGCGGGGTGCAGCAGCGCCAGCAGGCCGCCAGGCTGCGGGCTCGGCCAGCCTGCCCTTCTTGCTGCCGAGGGCTGCCGCCAGCCCCCGGCCTACCGCGCCGCCACACCATCCTCCGCCCACTCCTGTCCCCTCCCTCCGCTGCTCCTGTCCCCTCCCCGCCCTCCCTCTGCCCTCTGCGCAGGCGTGCAGGGTGACCAGCGCACGCACTCCCACGTGGTGGCGCTGCGGGCGGTGACCAGCAGCGACGGCATGACGGCGGACTGGTACCCCTTCCAGCCCGACTTCCTGCGCTACGTCTCCACCAAGATCTGCAACACGGGTGGGGCGGGGTGGGGTGGGGTGGGGGGGCGCCTGCGCATGTGTGTGTGCGGCGGGGCAACGGTATGGGTTGGTGTGTGTGTGTGCGACCATGGATGTGTGGTGGTGTGTGGGTGTGCGTGTGGGTGTGCGTGTGGCAGGCAGGGAGAGGAAGGGGCACCTGCTGGCGGCCGGGCCTCCCCCTGCAGTGCAGCGCCGCCGGGACCAGGCTCTCCCTCGCTGCTGAACGTCCCGCCTGCTGCCTGCCTGCCTGCCCGAATGCCCCGCCCTGCAGTGCGCAGTGTGAACCGTGTGGTGTATGACGTGACCTCCAAGCCGCCCGGCACGATTGAGTGGGAGTGAAGCCCGGCCGCGGCTGGCGGCAGACCGCGGCCGCGTGACGCGACCGCAGCAGAGGCACCAGCTCCGGCCCCTTCCCGTACCACACCCGACCTCGCTTATTCCAACTTCTTGTGCTTACTTCTGCCACGCTCCCCCGTGGCGGAAGCTGCTGTGACGCCGGGGTGTCGCAATTTGTGCCATATTAGAAGCACGAACAGAATGGCGAGCACGATACCATCAGCTCTGGATACCCTCGGTTCCAAGCAGCTCAGCGCCCACCGCTTAGGCACGTCCCCAGTAAATGGACGATATGTGCCAGTACAGGCTGCCGGCGGTGGGTGTGCAGCGCAAGCGGCAGTAAAGGCTGGCCGGCCTTGCGCGGTGCCTGCTCATCTCCCGCTGCCCCCTGCCCCTGCCTGGGCGCCGCCTGCAGCACTGCCGCTGCCAGCCGTATGCCACATGCCTTTGCTGAAGGGGAGCGGTGGTGTCCCTCATCACATCGTGCCACTCGTGATTTCGTGGCTTCATGCACCATATCAAAGCTGCGATACCTCACTGGGAGGCCGCCAACCAACCTTCCCTTCCGCCCACCCGCTGCTGCCGCCAACCGACGCTGCTGCGCCGTTGGCCGCCATCTCCAGCGCTGCCCCCCTGGTTCCCACCGCTGTCAGAGCGCTCTGGGCATTGCTGGTTCCCCGACTCAGCCGTGGTGCGAAGGGAGAAGTAGGCGGGGCCAGACCCGTTGCCTCTCCTCCTTTCTTGTCCCCACTGAGCTCAGGCGTTGGTGCTTCCCACTCTCCCTCTCGCCTTTCTGTGCACGTGTGGGCCCTGCTAGAGGCCAGGGCTGGAGCAGCAGCAGAGTGAGGTGAGCGGCAGGTTCAACCACCAGTCTCGAGACTCGTAGCCCAGCGCACGCCTGGGGCCTCCTTTGGGTGGGAGGCCTTCCAGCAGGCTCTGGGAGGGGCTGCTGGGTGCTGGAGTACTCTTGTTGCTCGCCTCACCCCTCTTTCCCTGCTGCAGCGTGCCATGGATGGCTCTGGAGAAGTGCGGGCTCCCAAGCGAGCCAACCCTGCCCTGGTAGGTCCAACGGTTCTGGGCTGCTCGTGCTGCAGGGCGGCTGGCTGCCGCTCGCCGCTCGCATCCACCTCCTCGGTTTGACCTGCACCTGGTTGATCTGCAAGCGGTCCAGGACACCTGCTTGGATGTCCCATCTCTGCTAACGCCACTGGTGCCGACCCCACCACTCCCCTGCTCGGCTGTGCGTCCCCTGTCTGCTGCCGCCAACAGGTAAAAGTGCGGCGCAAAGTGAGTGCAGTATCTGATCAGCAGGATGAGCTGAAAGAGGCCTTCATTGCCATCTTGAAGCAAGTGGGGGAGCTGTTCAACAGCAGCGGCGAGTCTCAGCTGGTCACTGTGCTCAACATGGGCGTCTTTGCTGCTGCCGGCCTGAAGCAGCTGGAAAAGGTGGGTGGGTGGCTGCGCGGGGCTTGCTCCCAGTTGGGAAGGCGGGATGCTCTTGTGAGTGTCTTGGAAGCAGGATGGCATTGGGTTTATCAAAGTGTTGTGCTCCTGGCGGAGTGACTGCTGTCCTTCCCCACTGTACCGCTGTCGTGCAGGACTGCCGCGAGTTTTTCGACGCTGGTGGAGCGAAGACCATCAGCATCGCGGTGGAAACTCTCCGTGGTCTGCAGGAGAAGCTGTTGCCGCTGGTGAGGTTGCTCGGGGTGCGGCGGTAGTGCAACGACCGCAGCCTGCTGAGCCTGAGGCAGGCTGCGGTCGTTGCAAGCCAGCTACCTCTGGACTCCTGGCCACCTCACTGTTTAGACGCCAGACCCCTTCCGCCGTGCCGCAGGTGTCCCAGCTGAGCACGAGCCTGGCAGCGGCAAGCCCCGACGCCCACGGCATCGAGCTGCTGATGGCAGAGGTGGCGGCCGCGGTTGCCTCCTGCGCCCCCTGGAGCGGACTGCGCCGCGTGGTCCATGTGAGCGAGCGGCGGCGAGGGATATCACCTGGGTGCTGGGAGCAGTGGTGGCGGTGCAGCTGGGCATGCCTGGCTGCCAGTGGCTGATTTGTGGAGGGGGTCTGCAAACTGATGACGTTACGTGCAGACACTCGTTGTTTTCGTGGCTCATGCCCTTGCCCTGTGCTGCCTCTCGCAGGACCTGCCCGCCAGCACCTCCTTCGGCATGGCTTCCATCGTCAAGGCTCAGAACCCCAGGCGGGCGTTTGAACTGTCGCAGCGCCTGTGGCGGGCGGCGCAGGAGGAGGGGATGCGGGGGCGGCGGCGCAGCTGAGGCGTGTGGCGTCTGATTTGACCAGCAAGGAAGCGGGCGAGCATCATCAGCACCACCAGCAGGAGCCGGCTGCGGAGGAGCAAGCAGCAGGCCCAGATGCCAACCCGGTACAGTCGCTGCCGCCGCCACAGCAGGGTGGGCAGCCAGCACGCTCGGCTGTCCCCCATATCGGCAAGGTGAATGCAGCGCAGGCGCAGCAGGCAGGCAGCACGCAGGTCCATTGGGCAGAAGGCTCGGTGCATCCGCTGTCTCGCCGTCCCGTTAGCTTGCTGCCATCTGTGGATGAGGTGGCGCACACGCTTACAGCACTGAACCTGCGGGGACAGCCCACTGCCGCCACTGCTGGCTGCCGTGCGGGTGCCAGTGACAGTGCTGGGGGGCATACTGCCTCCCTTCAGCATGAGGTGCTTCAGGCGCGCCGGCACACCGCGTCGGGACAGCAGCCCGACAGCAGCGTCGGCAGGCAGCAGCCTGCAGCAGCAGGGGCCGAGGGCCGAAGGCTGGCACCAAGGCCCTTCCATGTGAGCCTGCATGTGCCTGTGCTACCCGGGCCCCTGCCCGCCATGTCACCCACACCTGGCTGCTGGCTGCAGGAGTATGCGGGGGTGCCTCTGGCGAGCATCCGGTGCGACAGCGTTGCACGCATGGCCTTCAACCAGAAGCGCGGGCACAACACCGACTTGGTGGCGTTTTGCCTGCGCTGCGTGGCTCCCAACCCAGACGAGAACCTGTGCTACTCACAGGCTAACCAGCTGGGTGGCCTGGTGGGTGGGTGGCAGGCCGTCCTGCCGTCCTGCAGCCTGTGGCTGCTGTCGAGCCAGTGTGGGAGGTTGCCTGCCTGCATCGTGCAGGCATCCCGTCCTCATGGCGTTCCACCTGCTCTGCTGGTCATCCTGCCTGCCTCGCCGCCGTTTGCAGGTCTGTGCGGTGCGGCGGGGCGTGCTGCCTGAGGTTGCGCTGCGGCGGAGCAGCAGGGCCGGTCTCGACACCGTTGCAATTGGCCTGAGCTTCGACCTGCCGCCACCACCTGGCGGCAACGTGGAGGAAGCGGCGGTGCTGGCAGCAGGGGGCAGCCAGGTGGCCAGATCATCAGCGGGGCCTGATGCAGCGCATGTGGTGCAGCCCGAGATGGTGTTTGATGTGGTGGCGTGCCCGCTGCGCCGGGATGCTTGGTGGGATGACGCCGAGATGCAGGCTTTGCTGAGGTGGGTTGTGTGTGTGTGTGTGTGTGTGTGTGTGTGTGTGTGTGTGTGTGTGTGTGTGTGCATCCCTGGTGCCATGCTTGTTTGAAGTGGGGCCTTGCCAGGCACGCAGCCTGGGATACTTGGCTGTGTGACTGAGGTGCACAATCTTGCGGAGACGGCGCCGCTGTGCAACTGCCTGCTGCCTGCAGGGCCAGCCCTGCCGCCATCCGTGACGGCTTCCACCGCTTCCGCCAGCTGCGCCCTGACGCCTACAGGGGCGCTGCCGGCACTGTTCGGGTGATGCAGTCTGCCCTCTGCGACCCTGCCAGCGGCGTGACCTGGCAGTGGGCCCACAAGGCATTCCTTGCCGACGGCAGCCTGGACTTCCAGCGCATGGTGTGGCAGGCGGTGTACGTGAAGTAGCGTCCAGGCACACCTGTACAGTGGGTGAGATATTTGCTACTATTGATATCAATTGTAAGCAAAGCACAGGCGTCAAAACTTTGGCTGGTGGCACGCCAGGGCGCCCCAACTGCCAGCAGTGCTAGCCAGCCTGTGTTTCCATCTGAGGCAAAAATCAAGCTCCGACCCTCGCCGCCATCGCAGCAAAGGCATCGTAGGCGCATCTACAGCCATTAAATGCCAAGGTGAGGAAGGGCAGCTTGGCGGCGCTGGGGTTGCAGCGCACGCGGCAGGACAGTCAGGCCAGCCTACGCGGTGCCCGCTCGTCTTCCCCTGCCCCCAGCCCCTGCCCGGGCGCCGCCTGCAGCACCGCCGCTGCGCACACCCTACGCCGCCTGCCAGCTGTATCGGGAGTAGTGGGGCGCTCCATAACATCATGCCACTCGTGCTTTCGAGGCTTCATGCACCGTATCAAAGCTGCGACGGCTCATTGGGAGGCCGCCAACCAAACTTCCCTTCTGCCGACCCGCTGCTGCCGCCAACCGACGCTGCTGCGCCGTTGGCCGCCATCTACCAGCGCTGGCCCCCTGGCCCCCACCGCTGTCAGAGCGCTCTGTGGCATTGCTGGTTCCCCGACTCAAGGCCGTGGGTGTGAAAGGACGTAGGGCCAGACCCGTTGCCTCTCCTCCTTTCTTGTCCCCAGCTCGGCGTGGCTGCCCCACTCTCTCTCTTTCTCTCTCGCCTGTCTGTGCACGTGTGGGCCCTGCTAGAGGCTATGGAGCAGCACCAGAGGGAGGTGAGCGGCAGGTTCAACCACCAGTCTCGAGACTCGTGGCGCAGCGCACGCCTGGGGCCTCCTTTGGGTGGGAGGCCTTCCAGCAGGCTCTGGGAGGGGCCGCTGGGTGCTGGGGTTGCCCACCGCCACCAGGAGTTTGCTCGCCTCGCCCCCCTTTCCCTGCTGCAGCTTGCCATGGATGGCTCTGGAGAAGTGCGCGCTGCCGAGCAAGCCGACCTGGACCTGGTGGGTGGGCCCGCGGCCGCTCGCGCGGCAGGCGGGGCTTGCCGCCGCTCGGCGCCTATTGCTGCCACAGCCGCTGCACCCGCCACGATCGATCTGCAAGCGGTTTCGGACGTTCTTCCT